CCCACAAACGTTCAATACATTTTGCTAAGTGTATATTTACATTAACCAGTTAACTTTTGTAGTTTATTGTAGCAATCTTTTTATACATGTCTGGTGATGACAGTCAACTTCTTTCCAAAAGAGCCAGGCATGATGGGACCTGTAATCCCAGCACTCGGGAGACTGAGGCAGAATTTCAAGTTCAAGGTCAGCTTTGATTCCATAATGGGACCCTTTCTCAAAAAAAAAAAAAAAAAGAAAGAAAACAAAGTGCCAGATCAGTGGATTCAGTTCCCATCACTACAAGAATACATAAAATTCAAAGTCTATTTAATGTTCTTGGCAATCTTACAAGCACCCTGAAAATTTAAGAAAAATGTTTGTAACTTTCCATTTCTGGTACAAATAAGATGGAAAATTATCCCTTCCATAATCAAGGTCAGATGAAGGAGCAAGTAAGCCACAACTTAGGAAGAGAAAGGGCTATTAATCTTAGTTTACTGTGAAGCTTAGCATTCCACAAGATTTGGAATTAGTCAATGGTACCAAGAGGGTACCACTGCCAAGTACAGGATCATCCTCAAGCTCAGCCTGTAAGTCCTTCCAACTGACCTAACTGTATAGTGGAATTTAAGGTGAGGACTAATTAATGAGGAAGCTGGACAACACCAAGAATTATTTTTAAAACTTAAGACTGATTCTTGGATGAGTTAACATTAAAGAATCAAGAATCAACACTATCTCTTGCATTTTAAAAGTGCTACAAGTAGGTTCACGGTCATAAAATGCCCAGAAAAATATAATGTCCAGAAAAAACATTTTTCCAATACACAGATCACTATAATTAAGATATATTAGTAGGGCATGGTAGCTCAAAGCCTACAATCCTAGCTACTTGGGATGCTAAGATGAGGAAGATAGCAGTTTGACTAAAGTTTGCAAGACCCATCTCAAGAGAAAAAGTAGGGCATGATGGGGTGCATCTGTCATCCCAGCTATGGCAGAAGGCATAAAATAGGTGGATCACAGTTCAGGTCAGCCGGGGCAAAAAGCAAGACCCCATCTCCAAAATAACCAGAGGAAAAATGGCCATGGCTCAAGTGGTAAGATACACTTACCACTTACCGGAGTTTCTAGTAGTGATGAAGTGTTACCATTACCGGAGTTTCTAGTAGTGATGAAGTGTTATACTAATGCTAATGCCTGTTCTTTCTTTTTAAACCAGTGGGATCCATCCCTAAGAGCTAAGGTATAACCTGGTAACAGAGAACAGGTAGAAGTCCGACCCTGTAATTAGCATAACTAACATATGGTTTCTGAAACAAAAGGAGTCCAGACTACAAACAATCTAATTTCTAAGGCTCTCAAGTGAGACAGTGGACTATGGTAGTTTCCATTCATTCTAGGACTTTAAAGAAATTAAGTAGCAACAAACCTTATTTGTTTCAAACTTTAAGACTCCTGGTTTTAGTATCCTCAATAAAATGAACAATCAGTCCCTTGACATGAAGACTTAACAACAGTTTCAACTATCTGAGAACTCTAAACATGTAACAGATACCTACTCCCTTAATTGTGTTAAGACATGCATCAGAATCTACTACTCAAGACTTGAGTCTAGCCACATAACATCCCATGGGAATGCAGTCCGTATCTCCATTAGCCTTCCCTATTTAGCCACTTCACAGAGACAAGCCTTTGTTTGTACTTGATTACAAAAGGATGCTATTCCATAAGTATATCCCAAAGAATTCCAGAATGAAAAAATAAGTTAAATAATGTGCCTAAGACTATACTTCTACATAGAAAATTTGTAGGCAACACTGAAATTACCAAGTATTAAGCTACCCATGATCTGACACATCCTTTTATACACACCACACCCACATATAGCTTACTTCACTACCAAAATTTTGAAGGGATAATTTGCATTTGTATGTCAGAATGTGCCACTTTGAGTCAGGTGTGGTGGTCCATGCCCATAGTTGCAGTATCCAGGAAGCTGAGGCATGCCGACTGAGAGTTCAAAGCCAGCCTGGGCAACATAGTAAGGCCCTGTCTCTTTTTTTTTTTTCCAGAAGTACTGAGTGTGAACTCAGGGCCTATGTAGGTGCTCTCGATCAATGGAACCACTCTGTCAGCCCTTTTATGTTGGGAATTTTCAAGATGGGGTCTTAGGAAGAACTATTTGCCCAGGCTGCCTTTGAACCTCAATCCTCCTGATCTCTGCCTCCTTGGGTAGCCTGGATTACAGGCATGAATCATCAACACCTTACCAAAGTTCTCAATTTGTTTTAAAACACAAAGTTCTGTGAAAGTTGAAAGGAGTACATTTTATGTTTCAAAATAATTTTTTAAAGTATGGTTAAGAATTGCTCCAGAACTTAAAGGCAACAAAGCTAACTTGAAAAACACCTCTTTTTAGCCACAACTAGCTGTAATTTTAAAAGGAAGATAATTTCCACCACAGTATTATGGTTGATATGGTCCAATATCAACATAGGAACAGGACTAAACTACAAACCTGGAATTCCTCTATTTTTTTAGTAAAGGCTCACTTATGCATTATGTAATTTTCCAGAAGTAAGATCAAACATTAAAGAGGTTTGAGGAATTTATCAAACCACATCACTTTCAAGTGAGTGGAATATTCTAAGTCTGGAAATAGGCCACAGAAATCAGTACAGTAGAATACACACAGGCATAATCTCAAAAATCAGGTAAACAAACAACAGCTATTACCACTTATGACATTTTATTGGCATATGACAATTTACAAGGGTCCCTGTTGCATTATACATCACACTGAGTAAGAATCGTTTAGCCATCTACATTCATTCTTAATATTTCTTCTCAATTTAATTCCCAACACTGATTTTAACTGTGACAAATGGGAACAATAGCAATTTCTTGAAGCAGACTGCAATTGGAAAAATGTGTTTTTTATTATTAAAGTTCCTAGGATGTTGGAAAGCATACACACCTAAGAACTGAGTCATGGCCTTCTTAAACATGTTTTATTTTTCTCTGGAAATATCCTTTGGTTCATTTTTATTTCTTTCCTCTAGGCAAAAGGAAATATGTGAATGCAACTATCAGTTATTTCCTGGCACTTGTAATCTAATATCCTACCAAGAGGAACCATGCAGCTTTTAGTCATAAAATGTGGAACTAAATTGTGGTTTCAAAAAAAATACAGACTACTTTGAATATGTTTGGCTCTGAAAAAGTTAACATCCACAATGGTATTCTACTGTAGAGTTTTCATAATCATCCTACTCTAGTATATTCTGGTAGGATACTCCTTCCTAAACCTTAAAAGAATAAAAGTAACCAAAGGTTATACAGAATTGCATTTGCATTTAAAATATAACCTGCCAACTCACTATTAAATCATTTCTCAGCAAATTCACTTTCCCCTACTATCTTTAGAAAAAAACCTGTAAGTTTATAAACATGCATAGAGATTCAGTATTTAACCAACTAATAACAGTTAAAATAAAAGCTATCTGTGTTCGTACAAAAGAGAATGGTCATGAAAATTCCTTGTTAGGGAATTCAAATCAAAGTTGCTTTAACATTTAAGTATTATGCTGAATAGGATATTAGTTACGTCCAGATTGATGCAACACAATACTTTCTTTGGCGCATATTAGTTCTGATTTACTAAATTTCAGAAATAATTAAGGGGAAGACCTTAAGCCAAAGAAACTGTATGCTGACTTTGGTTTCAATTTAGTTTTTGTCCAATAGCTCTTTGCAAATGTCCCTGGCTGTAATCAAGGTACAAGATGCATTGCAAATCACCCAAAGTGAGGATGAAAGAGCTATATAAGAGCTTTAAAAGTTTACATTAATAGAATATGCATTATTTTTTATTAAATGCAAAAATATACAACTAATCCTATTGCTGAATTAAATGAGATGTGACTTGTTTCACAAGTATTTAAAAATCAAACTCAACACTGAAGTAGTAACTATATCAGATTTTCATTCTTTTAACAACTATTAAACATAAAAGTAACCCACATTTAAAAGATTATATACCTGAAGAATAGAACCCTTGGAAAGAAAAGGGCCATTTTACAAACTGCAACTGAAATAAGGAAAAAAAAATAAACACAGTTACATCAATCCACAACAAGCCTCCTGCCAAACTCTTTTATAGATGACATTAGAAGAAACAAGTTAATTATAATACTAACAACCAGTATGTTGTATTTCTGTTTCTTCAGTTGTTATACTACAAACTAATCTTCAGCTCTTCAAAAGGTCAAACAAATGTGTTACCTATGAAATCAGGTGCTGAACTAGCAAATTATTCTTCAGGATATCAGGTTTTGTTTATTAATACTAACCTGGTGTGTGGGTCTAGGATTTTTATTTGCAATGTTAGTTTTACAAACCAGTTTCCCTCTCTCAAATAGCTGATACCTAAGACCATGACTCAAACTGTCAAATAAGAATCTAAAGAGAACACTCAATTTTGAACTCAAATAGGAAAGCTTCCTAAAAAAGATTTTTTATAGGCCACTGCTTGCTCAGTAAAAATAGTATTTTCTCAAACCTTTCAGTCTAACTTTTTTAATAGATTTTACTTTTTAAACTACTGGCAAGCTTTTTTCTCCTTCTTATATATTTGCAGAAGTGTTAAACAAGCTTAGTTTACCAAAGCAACAACTTTGTCTGTGATATACTTCAAAAACTAGTAGTGTTCGAATTAACAAAGATGTTGAACAGATGTAGACAGTTAAAATTATTAGTGTGGCCACTATAAACAATTTCTGTTCAAGAATTTGTGTGTAGAGCTAACGTTTACTTCAGAATAAAACATTAACAGGGAGGAAAGAGAATCAGAACTTTCACAGAGCTGTACTTGACCGTATCTTATAGACAAAGCAGAATTACAATGCATGTAACAAAAACAGTAAAAGTGTTTTTTAAAAGTCAATAGTTACAAATATGGTACGTAACAATTTTCTACTTTATTTCAGTACAATTTTCAACATACAGTCTACTGCTTTTTCAAGGTATCTGAAGACTTAAAACAAAATTTCTATAGACTACTTGCAAACAGTAAGATTTAGGTAAAATGCTTACATTCTTATTTGAAAACAAAAATATCAGATTAAAAAAAATGGTGGGTGCAAGTTCTGCTCTCTGTTGCAATTGTACTTCAGACTCACTATTCCTAAAAAATGAAAGAGAAATTAAAAATTAATAAAGATGACTCTCAGAATGAAGATGAACAATAATATGTTCCTGAAAGTATTTAAATATACTAATTCATCCAACAAGCCCATACTGAAGAAAATCAGAATCACAAGGTAAAAATGTCTACCTTTTCTTCTTTGCGTCTGTCCTTCTTTTCTTCATTATTTTCCATGGTCTCTTCTTCATCTTCAACTATCCCATCCCCTTGGTATTTGTCATGAGTCCATTTTGGACTGCTACCTGATTTTTTGAAATTAAAGCGCCCTCTGCCACGTTGAAAAGTACCACGACCTCTTCCTCTTTTGGCCCAATAATCCACACCATCATCTCTGTCGTCATGCTACAGAAAGGTTAAAAAAAATAATTAAATGTCTTTCTTATGAAGATGATTACTTCTCCATCATAAAGCGTGCAATTAATAAATCATGCAATAAACTGATTTTTTAAATAATAATATTCCAATGAAGAATAATTACATCTTACTACTTAGTAATTCAAACACCAAGACTTACCCAGAGAACTATTTAAAGAATCTCAACTATTAAATTACTACTGATTATCAGAATTCTGACTTTTTTGATTTCCATGTGTTTAAAGCCTACTTGGTATTATACTGCCTGTAAGGAGACAAAATAACCAACTTTTCCCCACAAAAAATACCTTAGTCATAAAGATGTGGCAAAGTCATAAAAGCATCACTATAACATTCACTAAATAATATAGGTCCTATGAACTATGACTTACATATTAAAACAGATTTTTATAGTCCTATATTGATATTTAAATCTAGACCAATGTATAGTACACACAATCTTCTGGGCTAGGGAGCTTCAATGACAAATCTCAATGCCATAGTTCCTAGGATTAACATAACTCAGCTATTTTCTTCTTCACCAATCTAGAATACTGTAGCTATCATATTCCAAGTGTATTCAAATAGAGATATTCCCCACCTTACAAGCACAACAACCTACAAAACTGAAAAAGTACTCGACTTTGTAGATAAATGAACTATCATGTCCAAAAATACAAAGCAAAAGACCAAGGATTTCCCATATATAATCTAATTAACTGCTGCCCACCTCAACTAATTTACTTTTAAAATTTGTCACCCACAAAATGAGAAATAAGGCAAAAATGAGGCCCCTTTATAAGGCAACAGTCACAATTCAAATAGAATATTGCATAACCTGTGGAGTACTGTTATTAATCAACTACACAAGTGACTGCAACATTTGTTAAATGTTATGCCATACTGATTACCTCTCTCAAAACAAAGAATGTGCCTTTCTTTATATATAACCATTTAATACAGATTTCCCTTTGCATGCCTTTAAGGGTAATTAACAGACTACAGGAAAGAACACTTCCCAATTTCAAATATCCTGTCTTTATGGAACCAATAAAAGATTACTAGGTAGAGGTGTGCATGATTCCATTAAAAGTGATTTCTGGAACCATCAAAAGTATAAATTTAAGCACAGTAGACAACAGAAGTACTGCAAACCCAAAATAAACTATTATGCACTCAAAATGATACCTACTCAATTACATTATTTTGTGTTCCCTTTTGGCATTAATAGCCAACTTTAGTGTCTTTTTGTTTGTTGTATTTACACAGTATTCTTCATATGGGACGAGATAAGGAAGATTTGGAATAAAGGCATGGATTTAAATCTTAACAGAAACCACCAACTTTAGGCAACTTCTCTGAGAATTTATATCTCCTTTTAATAAAGGGAGATAAGCCTTGAGAACACAGGGGAGGGAGAAAAAAAAAACACATTAAAAAGTGTCTAGTCCACTGTCTGACAAGCAAATACTCAATGAAAGGTGAAACTTCCACAGTTCTTACTGTGGGTAAGGCATTCTTCTGAATACTTTACATATATTTACTACTCATCTCATCCTCACAACATCCCTGTAAAATACTGTTATTACCCCTGTTTTAGACATAAAAGGAAAAAAATTCAGACAGAAATTATAACCATCACCAACAGAATACATTTCCCAGACATCGTGATGTAAGTAAATGATTAAGCGCATCAGGTGGCTAGGAGTTAGTAGAAATAGAAATGACAGTGAGTGACAAAGCTACAAAGCCATTACTAGTATACTACATCATCTGAAATGTAAAAAAAAGCAGCCAAAAATACTAAGCTGTGTCTTCCAGAGGTAATCCTAACAGCTACTAAGTGAAATTTTTAATATAGATACTCAACCTTGAACACTTACATCCAAGATTTTAATCTCATTATAATGTTAAGAAATACATTTTTTGCAGATGACAAAGGGCCAGAAGTTGGATGTTTACACAGACAAAAGTATGTTAACAAAAGAGTCCGTATTGGAATGAAGACATTCTGTGTCCTCTTACCTCTTCTATATAGCAAAGGTAATGACAAATCCTAACCTCCCCCACCAGGGGCTTCTCTTCCTCTGAGGACATCCTCAAGTCCAAAGTGAGAACTGCCCATTTTAATACTTTCCTATTTGGTCCACCAACTCCTCATATTCATTCCTCAGTAAGGTTCTACCTAATACTAGTATCTTTCCTGGAGTCCTTCTTATTACTAAAAACATTACCCCACCCTTGCATAAATCCGTTTTGAGATGGAAAATTTCAGAAAACAATGCAATAAATTCTATTATTGTAATTCAGTATTGAAGCATGAACAGTTTGTTCAGAACTCTGGCTCTGGAGCCCAGTGTATGGGTTCAAATTCTAACTCCATTCCTACTAGCTACCTAATGGTCAAGTGTTTTTCATCTGTAAAACAAGAATAATAGCCCCAATTTAAAAGGACTTCTAAAAATTAAGCTAAGACATGTAAATAACATTTAGAACAGCTCCTATCATAGTATATAATGCTCAATTAAATGTTACTAAGTATTAACATTTCAGCAACATGGGCAAAATTTCTGTTGGTGGATTATTGTGAAAGAACCTAAAAGGGCACATTGTTATTTTTGTTTATGTTTCTATTCGCAACACCAGCAGTCTAAAAAGTCATATTATTGTTACATAAGGTGCAAACTATTTTAAATTCAAATATCCATGTAAAACTAACTTTGTTGCTTCACTGGCTCTTAAGAAAATCCCAAAATAACTTTGGGAATTGATTTACAAGGAAAAATAAGTATTAATGTGTTAATTTTTACCTGATACTCTACTGAACAGTCCGTGTGACATATGCATATGTACATTTTACAGAGACCAAAATTTTATTATAGTCCAAAAGAGCAATATAAAAAGTATTACTACTACTTGTTAAGTAGCTAAATTCTCACAAATGACACTGGTATTAATAAAACTACTGCTAAATTATAAGGAAATCTAAAATGACTTGTAGCAGTTTCACATAAAATCTATGATGCCAGATTCTGAAAGAATAATAGTAGGTCTGGTTTTCATAAATTCTTAGGAGTGGTAAATTACTATCTCCTCTTTCTCCTCTCATTTCCTCTTAACTTTCTGACATTTCACAAAGGTCCGATTGTCTAGCATTTTTACCATTACACCAACCCCACCTCAGAAAGGCTGATCTTTAATCTTTTTTTGACTACGAGTTCTTGGCCTATCTTTAATAGTAACCACATTTAAGATGATGGTTCCTAGATTTATGGGTCTCTAAATCTGCATTAGCAACTATCCACTGGGCATCTCCACTCAATTCCTCCTACTCACTTCAAATTCAGTCTGTACAACAGAATGTAATCCACTCTTACCATGGCATCTTCCCTCTAGATTCTTAAGATTCCCTCCTCTCATTATCATACAAAAGCAGATAGTACAAAGTTCACAAAAATGCTTTTCTTGTTGTTTCTCAAATGTAGCCCCTTAGTTTTGGCACTCAGTATCTACTAAATCCAACTACTCTAACCACCATGGTGATGCTCCTTAACCCCACTTAAAACCTAAATTTATGGGGAGCACCTGGTGCACATCCCTATAATCCTAGCTACCTAAGAGGCAGAGGTAGGATTGTGATCTAAAGCTAGCCTCAGGCAAAGAGACAGTGAAACCCTACCTGAAAAAATTAACCTAGGCAAAAAGGGCTGGGATATAGCTCAATTGGTAAAGGGCTTGCCAAGCAAGCATGAAGCCCCATTGAGTTCAAACCCCACCAAAAAAAAGAAAAACCTAAATTTATTACTAAAGTATTATAGTATGTCCCAACACAGTATGGTTCCTGATTTTTCTCAATTTTCCCAAATTTATACTTACCTTTTTAAGACTTAAACTCTATATACCATGCTATTTTACCCTTCTGCTATTTGTAGTACAAATATCCTTTTTTTTTTTTTTTGGCGGGGGGGGGGG